TTTGGCACCTCCTGGAACAAGTGAAGATCAAAGGTCATATGCCGTACAAGAAAAACCACAAACACCTTTAAATGTAAGTCTGGAAGGTGCTGTTCTTATGTCTTCTTATGATATACTACCAATTCCTCACGTTTTTAGTCAAGTAGATGTCATGCATAAAAGAAAGAAACGTCATGGATCCATAGTAATTGCGACCTCAACCCCTTTTATGCAGGAGTTCAAAATAGCCAAGAAACCAAAGCAACCACCGAAACAAAAAAAACAACAGTGAAGAAACAATTATTGTTTTCTGAGAATAACACTGATAGTGAAAGTAGTGAAATAGATCCACCCCTGAACGATGATAGTAGCTTCGAGTTGGATGACCAAACCTCTCCAAATGGCCACACAGGTGAAAATACGTTTGCAGATTTGGAAGAAGGGAGCTGGGTTGCAGTAAACTATGGCGGAAATCTTTTTCCTGGGATCGTTATAAACCATGTGAACAAACAAGTAACGGTAAAATGCATGGAAAAATGCCAAAAATATTTTCGTTGGCCAAAAAAGGACGACATAATGACTTATGAGCAAGAAGACATTGTTACGTAATATTTTTTTCTTATTACTTATTTTTCCAACTGAAAATGATTAAAATACCTTGATCAAGGACCAACAAAGTTTCTAATTTTTCCGTTAGTGGCAGCAGCTATCGGGTGGTTGTTTATGATCTTAATATGAGCTATTAGTACGTGGGCAAGCGACAATAAATAGGTACCTTTTACGGATAACGTAACAACATTCATATGCAAATTAATAAACCAAAAATACTGAGACGTGGTTTTTTTGATGTTCCGGAACTGGCTACATATGCAACCCCATAATATTTTAATTTAATCAAATATCACCTGAATTAGACTGTTAACTATGTTTTTATCAAACGTTACCTAAATTTAATTTACTTTTATTTTTCATTATTAAACTTAGTTATTATAAAATGTTACTCGAATTGCTTTAATTTTTTTTATTATTAAAATGTTTGAATACAATTTGTCGTTTTTCACTTTGCCCTCTTGAAAATTCCACTTTACCCGCAACATGGCGGGCAAAGTGAAATTTGCACTTCCTTAGGTTTTTAGTTTTTTCTTCTCAGATGGCATTGGATTAGCGGTTTTCAGCTTACACATTGTTAATGTTTATAATATAGCAACCGATTGCCCATAAAATCATTTTTCTAGGTGCACCACTAAGACCACAGGACAAGGTCAAACGTTAGCTATTCCGCTTTGCCCAACTTTCCCCTACCATAAAATTGCAATTTGTGAGACAGTAGGTCATGGTCAACGAGGTCAAATGCTTTGCTTAAATCAAAAAATAATCCTGAAGTCTGCTGTTTGTTTTCCAAGATTTCCAGCGCATGTTCAAAGAGTTGATCAATTGCACCAACTGTAGATTTATTTTTTCTATAAGCATTCTGACTAGAAGAAAAAAATCAGAATGATTCAAAGTAATCATACAATCTTTGATAGAAACAGTATTCAATAATCTTAGAAAACTAAGTAGCGATATAGGCATGTAAGATGCACAGTCAGATCGACAGCCCTTATTTTTGTATATTGGCAAAATCTTTGACATTTTCAATATATCAGGGAACCTTCCCTCAATGAAAGTGGATTTAACTATATGAACCAAAGGCTCAGAAATCACATTGGCAACCTTTTTAATAACATGACCGGGACTACTTCTTACAAACTTTTTTGATAACTTGTTCAATTTCCATTTTAGTTTCTGGATATAAATAAATACTTTGATGAGCAGATGGCACATATCTGATATTTTCAGTGACAGGTTTAGATATGCTACTACTGACTGTTGAGAAATAGTCACTGAAAAGATTGCATATAGCAAAATTATCAGAAAGAATGTCACTACCTTCAGCACATTGTAGACAAGGTATGGCATTGCCAGTATAACCATTCTGAGCTTCCTTGATGATTTTCCAGGATTCTTTCACCTTATTGTCAGCAGAAGAGATTCTATCATCATTGCAATTTTTTTTAGCATGTTTCAATTTAGCCTTATATATTGTTTCAAGTTCTTGATATTCCCTCTGATATAAACAGTACACTAGAAAATTCCTCAATATTATAGTCACTAAAACATCTCATTTATATTTCTTGGTTATGGTCTACCTGATCGTAGCCTCTCTTGAAATTAATATTTTTCCAAAACAACTAAAGGTACAATAATACTCATCCCCAAGGTATAGAACTCTCAGAAGGCAGTAGATCTTCGACCTATCAATGTACTCAGTTAAATTGAGGAGCTTTCAGAAAACATAGTGTATGAAAAACTGATTCCTCACCTAAAAAGTAACCAATTACAATTAATAAGTAGTATACACTCAGGGTTTCGTGGAAAATATAGCTATTCAGTGTATTCTAGATGATTGGATTGAAGCCAGAGGTAGGAAGGAAGTCATAGGAGCAGTCTTTCTCTGGACTCAGAAAGAGCTTTTGAAACTGTAGATCGTAGAAGGTTGGTCAACAAACTGAGAGATTTTGGTATTGTGGGAGATGCATTGTTGTGGATAACTACTTATTTAATAATAGAAGACAAATTGAAACTGAATAACATAACTCTCCGAACCAGATATAATGATGTCAGGTCAGACAATTTCGCTTTCTGCTTCGTTAAGTTTGTTGGGGGTTAAAATGGATACCAATATGTCTTAGCACAATCATGTCGCCGGAATGATAAAGGCTGCTTCTTAAAAAGTTGGAACACTGGTCCGAACCAGAAAACTGTACACACCTCAGCAACTGTTGATGCTTTATAAAGCTCAGATAAGACCATAATTGGAGTATTGTTCTCGTGTATGGAGCTCTGCATGCAAACATTCCCTGAAGTTTCTGGATTCCATCCAGAAAAGAGCCATCCGAATGGAATTTTGTGAAACCATGATGGGAAAACTAAATGAAAATGATTGGTTTTTGAAAAACGTATTATTACAGATAGATAATCATTTTCTTTAGGTAGGAAACACAAACCATCCACTTTCGATATTGGTCTTGGGAAAATCAGTATCTAGTATTCATATGCGTACTTAATACCTACAAATACTGTTTTGGCAGGAATTTTAGGGGACTATCTTATACCTAGATCCCTTCATTAACGATGGTAACTTATGAATGCTGTCAAATACCTACAACTACTACAAAATCAAATTATTCCAACAGTTCATCTACTTTCTATCAATTTTGAGGACATTTGTTTTTAACAGGATGTTGTTCAAGACACAAAATGCACGACCAGTGACACAATTTCTCCCAAATACGTTTCCTGGTCGATTTATAACTATATGTGGTAGGATTAAGTGGCCTTCCAGATCACCTGACTTATCTCCAAGTCATTTCTGTTTTTGGAGTTATCGAACTTCGTGCCAGCATTACTCTAAATGAACTCAGGGATAGTTTTTTTTTGGGTAACATTTTTCTTTACTTTTCAGATGAACACGTTATGTTTGTATTTCAGCGAATGGTTTGGCTTTATTTTTTAATTTGAAGCATGTATTTGATTTTCAAAGCTCTTATGGCGAAAAGAAAACATATCACTTATTTTTTCATAAAAGTAGCAAACGATTTCTCGCAGACAACGGAGCTTCGGCGTCGCAGTCTCTTCCTTAAAGTCAACATACAAAAACCTCTTTAACATTATCATACCGATGAATCGGTTGCCGTGTCCAGTGCGGTCTAACGAACATACGCACCTTGCGATTGGGGATACATTAACGTATTATAGTGGTTCAATCGAATAGTTTATATTCCGCTGCGAACTACAATAGTAGATCCCTTCTAGGATGCATTGGGATTCTTAACAACCAATATTTCTTTTCCACATCTGTAATATAAGAAAACTACATGTTACATTATCTATAGGTGGGTATAACTATTTTGTAGGTCTGAAGGTCAGCAACTTGTTCTCAGTAGACATTGCTCCCGTAATCTTGTATAGGGCACAAATTTTTACAGGTCGGGTCTGCCAGACATAAATCTCGACCAGGTAAATCATTTTCGACAGAAAAATTATCCAAACCCCACCCAAAAGCTTCACAATTCTTTAAAAAGTGGAAATACATTTTGCAGGTCAGCAAAAATTCTTGCATGTCGGGTCTCCCAGACATGAATCTCGACCAGGTTGATCATTTTCGATAAGAAAAATTGTTACCCCCATTCTTTGAGTATGAAAAAAATCCACATTCCTCAATAAATTGAAAATAAACTTCGCAGGTCGGCAGAAATTCTTGCAGGTCGGGTCTGCCAGACATAAATCTCGACCAGGTCAATCATTTTCGACAGAAAAAATTTCGAACCTCCACCAAAAAAATTCACAATTCTCAACAAATTGGAAATAGATTTTGTAGGTCGGCGGAAATTCTTGCAGATCGGGTCTCCCAAACATGAATTTCGACCAGGTTGATAATTTTCGACAAAAAAAATTCCAACCCCCCACCCATTGAATATGGAAAAATTCCACATTCCTCATTAAATTGAAAAAACCTTGCAGGTCGGCAGAAATTCTTGCAGGTCGGGTCTCCCAGACATGAATCTCGACCAGGTTGATCATTTTGGACAAAAAAAATCTAACCCTCACTCACCCTTTGAGTATGGAAAAAATCCACATTCCCCATTATATTGAGAATAAACCTTTAAGGCGGTAGACATTCTTACAGGTCGGGTCTCCCAGACATGAATCTCGACCAGATTGATCATTCTCGACAGAAAAAATTTCAACCCCCCACTCTTTGAGTATGGAAAAATTCCGCCTTCCTCATTGAATTGTTACTCTGAGATGTCAATGTATAACGGATAACGGATTTAAGACACAAACCACCTACTATATAGACTCCCCACGGCAATGGTATTGGTCGAAGACAAAGTTTACCGAATACTATAAGTTGGTTCACTCCAAGGAATTCGTTTGTCGGTACGGCTCAGGATTGCATTTTTTGCGATTTCCATGAGTCATATCGCCGATAGACGATGTCTGGAAGCCGCCGGCCGCATGACAGTTATACGAGGGCAGTTCCTATTCGCGATATCTACAGGGGACGTTCCGAAGTTGAAACTTTGCTTGCTCGGTTGTATCAGACAGATAATCTTGCACTTACTTGATTCTCGAAATTGCAATCGAATCAGTATTGCTGCCAAGGAATTCAGCTTTTCCATGTTATGCTCCAATTCATATTTATCCTTGAATGTTTCAGCTTCATGTAATCTTTTGCTAAGGTTTTTTTTACTGTTCCTCATATTATTCATTGTTTTTTGAAATACTTTCACTGATGCATATAACTTTTTTTTTCTCGGTGTGATTGCCTGCTTACAAACTCCTGAATGCTTCAGGAGCTGAAATGGTGACATCAGACAACCAATAGCATTTTCTGAAAAAGAATAATGTCAATTACTCCACCAATAAATTAATTGATATGAAAACTTATTCGTGAAAACGCAAGATATGGTAATGAAGAAATAACCAAACCAGTACATACCATTAGAGGAATCCGGTTCCAAAACCAATGTCAATGGCACGGTTGAAGAAGTTGACGGCTGATCTGGATTGAATAGATCAATTTCATCTGAAAATAAAATAGTAGGCAAACTTATTAAAAACTGCTTAGATGAAGGTTCAAAATAATTGTGGCAAATATTCAAATTGAGATTTTTACGCATCTCAGAAGTCACACTAATATGAGGATTGAGATGTCAGAACTGACTGTTAATGATGAGAAGAATAATTTTACCTGAATTGTTTTATTGTTTGGACGTTCAAGAATTGAATGGAAATGTTTTTCTTACCTCTCAAAAATAATGTAGGCACAGCCATTGTTTGAAGTCTACTCGACATCGATGAATGGTATTTAGCATTGAAATGTTCATGACAAATTTTTTTAGAGTGATACACCATTACTGGGTCCATTTCATTGATATCCCTGTCATTGATAGAGTGCACCCATATTCTGAATTTTTGTAGATATTTTCCAGGATTTGGAAATTTGTGTAGCGGTGCAGATGCTGAACACTTTGAAATGCAGCATTTCCTACACGACATAGTTGAAAACGAAGTTCACTAAGAATGATGAAAAAATATTAAATGTAAGAATGTAATAACACTGGATAAATATGTTTATATGAGATACAAACTAACTTATCGGAGAACACCAATAAAAATAATACGTATCAAATTCCTTCCAAAGGAAAAATGTAAACAATCAACAATCGACATAACCTATAATATCTGCAGAGACCCCTATAGGACGGAACAATGAACTACAAAAGCGACTTTAACCTTGATCATCTGCGTGAAACGTCTAGAGAGTAAGTAGTTTGTGATTTAAGAAGAAAAGGAATATTGTATTTTGAGGTTATATCGGTGTTTATTGTTTTGTGTATGAATATTTTTTTTGTATTCCTATCAGATTTTTGTAGAAATTAAACCCAAAATCTGAGACAAAATGATATCAGTACAAGGAATCAATCAGTCAGGGATTCCTGACAAAATGTGGCAGCCACCATTCGTACAGTTTGAAACTACGATGGGAGAGTTTACAGTGGAGTTATATTGGAAGCACTCTCCCCAAACATGTCGGAACTTTGCAGAGCTTGCTCGAAGAGGCTATTATAATAATACGATATTTCACAGGGTTATAAGAGATTTTATGATACAAGGAGGCGATCCAACAGGAACGGGTAAAGGAGGACTTTCCATATATGGACAGACTTTCAGAGATGAAATACACACAGATTTGAAACACAGTGGAGCTGGTATATTATCAATGGCCAACTCTGGCCCTGATACAAACGGATCTCAATTCTTCATAACCCTTGCTCCTACTCAGTGGTTAGACGGAAAACATGCTATTTTCGGAAGAATACACTCTGGTATGAATATTGTAAAAAGGATAGGGCTGGTAGAGACTGACCGAAATGATAGGCCTGTTGATGAGATCAAGATACTCCGAGGAAAGATCTTGAAGAATTAACTGGATCATAGGTTACTTATTTATCTTCTCCCATTTTCATTTGTTACTATAAATAATCAATAAACTAAAAAGTTTCCATCAGATTTGAAAACAGCTGATCATTTATAATGAGGGTTTGAGGGTTTTTAAACAATCATTTCAGATTTATTGAAGATTTCTCATCAAAAATGTTACCAAAATAATAATAATAAATGTCAATATTTGATGAATACCATAGAGCCGTCGACCAAAGTCCTTCAACCAGTGTACAATTTTTAAATATTTACAGTGATTTTTACACATGCTTACATAATAGACTTGAGGTACATTATATTTCTGGAAAAAAAAGTATTATAAATTAAAAGAGTGATTTGATATTTTCCCAAATAGTTTTTTCTGGGCAATTTGGTTGGTTGTCCCTCATCTCTTTCCCTACATAATGCCTGCAGGATCTCCCAAGTCAGTTTCATTTTTGGAAAAGAGGTTTCCTAGGTATGATAGTCTCTCCTTTATAGGTTTTACTTTTGTAGTTCCATACAGCAGTGCGTTTGAGGGAATGAGTAGTATGTTCTGAGGGAGGAGCATTTTGGTAAATCTCTTAAGTGTGGATGTTTCAGCTGTTTGGAGATTATTCATTGCAGGATTACAACTTGAATAAATTACATGTGCATATTCGAGAAGTGGATGACAGATAATTTTATATATTTCAGTTGTAGTTTTAGTGTTGATTCCCCTTTTTTTTTAAATGTCAGACTCCGAAAGTGTTCACCTCTATTGATACATTTCCATTTAATCATTTTTGTATGGCTCTTCAAGTGGTCAATGTTAACTCCCTGCATCTTACCATTATTCGAATAATGTGTTTAGTCATAAAAATAGACACCTTGAATAAAATTTCTTGTTGATTTTATAAAAAGAATTTGACATTCTTACATTCTTAAATTGCACATAATTTTGAGCACTAAGTTTCAAAGATCCTTCATAAAAAAATGCTGAATTTTCATGTTTAACCAGCTGCAATACATTTCCAGATAAATTTTATGTTACTTGATAGGTAGAAAATATCTACCATAATTCTTTGAGATGTATTTGACTTTTAATATTTCTGTTACAAATATGTGAAATGCTCTCTATGAGAGAAATCAAATAAGTCTGATAAAGAGAATTGAGATTTGAATTGAGAAAAGATTCATACATACTGAGAAAATAAATATTTCAAATTCAAATTGGAAACATTCAGCTCTTCTGGTGGCATCTGGCAAATGCCTGTCAGAAAATGAATATTTTCCCGACAATACCACAAATGGCATTGCTCCTTAGTCTGGCAGACCAATTTCGAATTATTACTCTTTGTCAGTCAGATTTATCCAAGATAGCAGTGCTGTCTGGTACTTAGTACTTTTTACCATAGAGGAACGTTGTAACAGGTGTATGATAGCAGTGCTGTCTGGTACTTAGTACTTTTTACCATAGAGGAACGCTGTAAAAGGTGTATGTTTTGAAATTCAGTTATTACTCTTCAACACTCTTTAAGACCTATTTCATTTCTGTTAGAGTTTTAGTGCAAGGAAAGCTTCTTAAAAATGTTTGAATATGTGGTGGAGCTTCAATGAAATCACTTGAGTGCTCTACATCACTACTGTCTTGGTTAGACAATTGTAATATTCCAAAAAAATGCCTGTTGGTGTTCACTCAGTTCATTTCAGTGAGATCGTGCTGCTGTACAAAGGAGAAGGATCTTCGAGATTTTCCTTCGTGAGGAAACTTGCACAAATGCTAGTCGGATATAATCAAATGTCCATCATAGTATCTGCCAGGAAAGTAATTGTCCAGCAAGAATGTACTAGATCCTACTCTGTAGGAATGTTGGAAATGCTGAATGTTTAGAATTTCAATTCGAAATACTTATTTTCTTAGGACTCTCTATAAGTTTGTGTAAGTGAAGCATTACCAAACAAGCAAATCATTGGTAACATTTTTATATAGAGGTGGTCGAGAAAACTTTTACAAAAAAACCTAGTATATGACAAAATGAGGTGTTTCTGATCTACTGGAGGTGAATTTCAAGAACTTTAACGATTTAACAATAGTCCAATAGCCCAATTCAAATATTTTCATTCTATTATATAATCGTTATCAAATTTTTCTATCAAACTAAGACATACGATTTCTGGAAAATAGAACGAGTTGAACAGGGAAAATTTGGAAAAGTTTTCAATCGATGAAACTGCTGGGTTCCCTGGATTGATGAACAGTGGATCTATATCTCTTGTACATTGAAGTATACACCATGTATTTCATTAATTTTGTTATGAGAAACTGCGAGATGATTTATTAACTATTTTCAGTATATTTTCTTCCCATTTTTCTGATTTCAAAGTGAAATGAAATACTTTCTTTATATTTTGTTCATGTATTTATTGAATCTGAATCTATGTTTATTTATTCTAACCATTAAACTTCAGATTAACACGACAGACCAAGCTATAACTTGATCAGAACAGAGATGCTATTCTGTATTCATATAAACAAGTATGTATTGTAGAGATTGTACCTATTTACTTTTCTTCTGTAACCCAAGCTGCATTTTTGCAAACCAAATCGTAATGAACATAACTTGGAAAATTGATATTTGTGTGACTTATAATTAATGGAAGCATTCATTACATTATGTTATTCAGTATTTATTATTATACTTTCGCTTATGATTCCTATTTAGACACTGTGCATCACATCACACCCTGCCAAGAATAATGCCACAACTCTGAAAACTGTCTTTACAGTATATCAAGAATAACATTCTCTTACACTGCAAATTTATAAAGCAATACTAGAAGGTATAGGTATATTTTTTTATTAAATAAAACTGTTATTGGACATTTTATTTGGATTCGAATAAAATTTGATTCATTGTATTTTGTGATTATTGAGGATATTCAATCATTATTCTAAGTGGATAGATGATTTTTTCAAGCAACATTAATGAAAACTATCGTTTTTATATGTGCCACCTATTATTTAATAACGGAACTAGTATGAGTGCACCTCCGCCATTTAACTAATTATCAATAGTTAAGTTTTCTTGAAATTTAGAACAATGTGGTATACCTATCCTTCTTCCTTTCCCTCTTCTGACTTCCACATGTGGGAGAATGATTTATGTATGGTAAATATTGAATATATAGATTTTCGTTAGTTTTATAACCCAAACAGTAAATGAAGATTTTTGGTTTTGGGTACCTATACCTATAGTCATGAGTTTTAAGAGTAGGAAAGGCATGGGTCTACTTGGTCCAACTAAAAATTTTAATATAATGATCCATATGTTCGGGAAGTCAAACTCGATACGATAACATACAGAATGAGACATGCCAGGTCGGTTTGCGAATCTTGCCCATCTCCCAAAGGCCTGTGTTGGAGAAAGTAGATATTAAAAAAAATGCAAGCAAGTGAAAGAATGCATTCTATCAAGGGTTTTAAACGGTATGAATTTTGTGCACAAATATAGGAGGCCGTACTTATGTTTGGCCATGGCTAATTCTGTGTACCTACTGTGCATTTATTAAAATATTTGGTAGTATTACTGCAAATTTTAAGACATCGTGGAATGAGCGATCATTTCGAGAATATTACTGTGCAATGAGAAGACACAGAAAAATAAGAATTACAACATTCTGCATTTATTCGGTCAAGTAGTTGTACTTGGTATGTTATTTGTGTGAGAATTATTGAAAACAAACTTTTCAGGATTAGGCTTCAGTTTCCTTATAATAAATAACTGATTAACTGAAAAGATAAATGTCTCCGAACTGAATAGGGGTTAAAATGGACACCAATATGTCTTGGCACAATCATGTCGCTGGAATTGCAAAGGCTGCTTCTCAAAAGTTTGAAATAGTGTTCGGAATCAGTACATCTCGAACTTCCCTGTTCAAAAATCCTTTCATTTGGAGAACTGCGTTTACGTGAAATGAACTTCCTGAGAACGTTTTCCAAATGGACTTAATCTCCAGCGATTCAAATCCAATATGAATCACTACTTTCGTAAGGCATTGATCTTAGATCGCCTTAAGGATTTTCCTGTAGTGCTTGTCTTTTGTCCTTGAAAAATATTTTTACTCTTGTAGATGACTAATTTTGTGATCTAGTCTTGATGTCAGAAGTAAATAGTGTATTATGATATGATGATTTAAATAGTGCATTCAATAGCGAGTTTATTTCCTTGACCAATGAGGCGCTCTCTTGGACTCTCTGTTCGCCGTATGGTAGGGGCGGCCCTATCAATATGATCAGCCAATGTTTGATCACTGGATCGTGATCCAGGACTGAAATCCTCTTATCTATTCGGAGAGAGTGCCCTCATTGATAATCAAAATCACCTTGCACTTGCCATACAAAAATATCATTTTTTGAGTACCTAACAATAGTAATACGCTAAGAAGTGACAACGCCTTTATCAGTTGCCTGTTCAAGAATTTTTTTCATTGCTAGGTATTTGTATCACATGGTCAAGACATTGAAAAGTGGTGAAAAAATAAATGAATAAAATTTTTTTGAGGAGGAACCACGACTGAAAGAACATCAGAACAAGAGGAAACATTTTTCTTCATTGCAGCAAAGATTACCACATTTGAAAAACTTCAAACGAACACTGTCTTGACGAATCAAGTTACTTACGAAATCGTTGAACGGTTGAACGATTGAATATAAAGTTCAGCACCCCCTAGCAGCGAAAGAGATAGTAAGGCAATCAAACTCAATTGCAGTGATCGCTTTCACGCGATTTTGAACTCTTTTTACCCAAAACCCAAATAAAAACCAGTGATGTTTTGTTCTGATGCATTGTGAGTGATTAGGGAACGTTATATTCGCGAGAATAATAATTCACCATTGGGAATCTTCAAGAAACTCTCTTTACAAAATCAGGTGAGTGCTTTTAAATAACTACCAAATATATGCTAGCATAATTTAACGCACTGGCCCATTCAAGCCAAAAAATTGACTTTCATTGCTTTCAAGAGTAACAAATTTATTCCTCAATAATCCTAATTCAATAATTTATGTAATACCTACATATAAAAAAATCCTGTCAATAAAAATATATATCTTAGTTTTCGAGATTCAAACTTGATAACACAGCCAACTCTGTTCATGCAACCCACTAAGTTTTTGACATGCAATAAAAACCGGTCTACTTTTTTAGATTGGGTATGACCATTGATTAACTTGTTTTGTAAAAATTGTTGAAAGACAGAAAAAAGTGTGTGGTTATTTTTTTTTTAAATATGACTGAAGTTAGTACAAACACTTGGGTATCTTATTTTTATTCGACATAAAGAATCCAAACAAGAGTTTTTACAAATGTTTTTTCGATTATTTTCT